CCAGAACCTCAGACTGACTCTACTCCCCACAGAAAGAGTGGAATCGGGGGGTGAAGGGCCAGTGAGAGAGAATCAAGACCAGGAGCAGCCGAATGGGCCCAAGTCTGTGGCATGATTTAAAAGACACCCCTGCCTCCAAGTATTGCCTCCATCAGAATGGTTCCACTGCCCCCTAACATTTTAGTTTGGAGAGCAAACTAACCCATGTGCACCCTGTTTTTCCTCATTGCTTAGAATTCTAACATGACAGAAAAAAAAAGCAATGCCTGCCTTCATTATCTGCTGAAGAAGGTACATTTTCTTCTTAGAAGCCCAAGTTGGGATGAGGCTGGTCCAGTGTGATCTGCCCTAAGGATGAGTGCAGCCTCTGGGCCCGCAGCCAGCTAACGGGGTGCCTGCAATTCCACCCTCAGCAGCGTATCCTTTGCTAAACACTGTCTTTTCCTTTCCCCTCAATCATATTGGAAATATCCTGGAGAGCAAAATATTAAATCCCTTCTTCAAAGAATTAGGCACCAGGAAGGCCTGAGATTCCTGATGGCTGTGGGAAGGCTGAGGAAATGCAAATGTCACCAAGTACAGGAGGCGAGTCTCCTCAACTCCTTTGGCCCAAGATAGAGCTTGGCAGAGTCTGAGAGAGGAGCTTGGCTCTGGGATTCACATGGCTGCGCCTTGCGGGGTGGCTCTCAGGAGGCGATAAGCAGAGGAGAATGGGGGATCTGCAGCTACAAGGCCATGTGCTGTGTGACTTTGGCATCCAGGAGGCAGCGTGACCCTGAGTTGCAGAGAGGAGCCTTCTTCCTATTTGTTCACACAGCATAGTGTGGCTTTGTGGTGGTGGTGAGGAGGCACCCCAGCCCAGAGGACAGACAGAGCTGTGACTGTAGATATTTCTGCCATCAGGCTGGTTTGTCCTGGAGAAACAGATTATCCCCACACAAACCAGTGTGTGGAGCAGGTGGCAGTGTTTGGGCTGCTGAGCCCGCAGCCCCACAGGCCTGGTCTCCCGTCATCAGGAGGCCTAGCTGCAAAGGAACCTGGTGTACTCTATGACCAGGGAGGGACAGGACAGACTCTCCAGGACACGACAGTGACTTGGACAGACAGATTTCTCTGCCATCTATTTAAAAAGACAGAAGTTGAAGTCATTATCCCTACTGAGCCAGTCACTATAGACTGGAAATTAGAAATGCAACTGAGAGAGGCATTTCTTTCCAGGGCCTGCCCTGTCATCCTGATATCTAAACCCCTGAAGCTGCCACCCTGTCTCCACAATAAAACAGCCCTGACTCCCTGCTCGTAAGATATAGCCAAGGACTCTGAGCAAGAGGCCAGCGGGGACGGTGGCTGGGGGTGTGGTCTGAAATGCCTACATATCTTTTGCTCTAAGTGCCCTCTGGCCCTGGGGTTTGGTTTCCTTCCAGAAAACTGTTGGCTGTGCCAGAGGAGTCAGTTCACCCTTCTCCAGGGTGACACCGGATCTCCCACCAGGCCCCTGGAGCCAGGAGGGGGTGAGGCCAAGGCAGAAAAGGGTATTTGACCCCCCTTCTCTATCAGCCTCTGACATGCTTCCTCACAGTCACCTGGGCTGCTGATCGTTATACCAGTCACAAAGCAGGTGTAAGACCCAAATCAGACCAAGGATCAGAGGTGCTCTCCCCAACTAGCACCCCACAAACTCACACATGATAAGAGCCATGTGTGAATGCAGCCAGGCGAGCTTCAAGGGGGAAATGTGATAGATTAATAAAATTTTTTCTCTACATGCAGACGTGGCCTCTGGCATCTTCATTGCCTAAAAGTCTGATATGATTAAGTAAAATGTGGAAATTAGTCACAAAAGCTAAAGTGATCTTTGGCTGCAGCGAAGAGACGAGGTTCTGACTATGCTGAGGTCTGAGCCCCACACATACTTGATAAGGGAGCTTGACAAATTAGTGTCTGTGCGGAGGAGGGGGACAAGGATGAAGGAAATGTTGAAACTGTGCTGTAGGAATAGTTGAAGGAACTGGGGATATTTAGCCCAGAGAGGAGAAATGTTAATGAGAATGATTAACTTGCTTCAAGATTTGATAGACTCCCATGTAGAAAAGGAAACTAGGCAATGATGATAGCCCACATCTACTGAGTCCCTACCATGTGCCAAGCACCGTGCTAATTGTTTTACATACATTTTCTCATTTAATCTAAACATCCTTGGATGTCAGTGCTGTTACGATTCCCATTCTACAGATGAGAAAAATTCAGAAAAGTTGAGACGCTTGCCCAAGCTCACGTACTACGCAGTGGAGTCAGGAAATGAACCCAGGTGATCTGACTCCTGTGCCTGTGACTTAACCATCCTCTAGAGATATGCTCTGTGTAGAGCCCCCAGCAGAATTAGGAGCAATGGTTGACAGTTAAAGGGGGGCAGGTCTGGAGGCAACATGAGGAAGAATTTTTAAACAACTGGAGGTATTCAACAGAGAGTGTTGGCTGGGTGCTTTGGGTGGTAATGAGCTACATCCCACTAGAGAGATGAAAGCAGAGGATGCAAGAGGTATGACACAGAACAGTTTGCAAGGAGTATTATAGCAGCAGCAGCACCTGGGAACTTGTTAGGAGTACAAATTCTTGGATCCCACCGCACACCTACTGAATCAGAAACTCTGTGGCTGGGCCTAGCCGTCTGTATTTTAATAAGCTGTCCTGGCGATTCTGATACACGCTCAAGTTTGAGAACCACTGGCACAGAAGTTTCTGCCTCCTGCCAGGGACTGGACTAGATGACTGCTTTAGTCCTTTACGTTACTAAGACTTCACAATTCTGTAGAAGTAAGATAAAAATATGACTCAGCATTTAACCGATTTTCTTTTCATGCTGAGCACTTACTAGTAATATCTTGAAAACAATATATCAGTTGCTAAATTGTGTAATTGGACTCAGGTACCTTAGCCATCCCAAGGCCAACAGGATAAATATTTGGGAGGCTGTGGGCGAGGGCCTGCCCCTCCGCCCCATCCAGGAGGCAGCCTACATTCTAGCCACCTCAGTCGCTCCATCGGTTTCCAAACAAGCCGGGTATGTCCCCACTCCTTGTTTGTTCATATAGTTCCTATATCTGAAAAACACTTGCCATTTGAAATCCTACCTTCTTTAAAATTTCAATTCAAATGTCGCTTTGTCCACAAAAGTGCCTAATAGTATCTAGAGCACAGTGCAGTCTCCCTTTCTTCCTCCCTTCTCTCCTTTCTGAGCCTTCTCTCACTTCTGAGTACCAGGGTCCTTAGAGAACTTGGCACATTCTGCCTCATCTCACGGGAATGCAGCCTCTCCCAACAGAGCATGCTGTCCTTGAGAGCAAGATGGTGCTGTCACGTCAACCCTATAGTGCCTAACATAAAATAATGTTCAGTGAAGAGTGATCAGAAGCAGTATTTTAAGAAAATTATGTATGCAACTCTTTGCGGGATGGACAACACTGCCCGACTGGTAAGAAGGAAGCCCTCTGTGATTCAATGTCAAGCCCTGAAGTCTTTGCAGAACTTTGAGGTTTCTGCAATAACCTGTGTGAATACACGTGTCTGCTGGTGCCAAGTGGCCCCACCTTCACACATCTATAGCCCTTGTTATCTTCAACTCCTCTTCATGTTCATAACAATCATTGTTGTATAGCCCTTGGATGATGAGAAATGCTGAATGCCCTCACAGCCAACTTTCCAAGTATCCCACAGAAAGAAGTATGAATAAATCTTCATTTTAGGGAAGAGAGAGGTCACAAATTTGACCACTATTGTAGGGATAGCAAATAAGGATACTGGATTACCAGATACCAGGCCCAGTTTAACAGTTTACCTCTGTGGGGCCAGGTGTCCTGTGGGCTGTGGTGGACTGGTCCCGTGACAAGGATGGTGGCGAGAGACATGTAGATGGGATGAAAGACCCTCCCCTCCCCAACATGAATTTCTATCGCCCCAGCTCCTGAAATTGACTCATCCTGTTGTGAAAGCTGAATGATTTGATGGAATAAGGAGATGTTCCTGATGTCTGTCTCACCTAACAACACTTAGGACAACTACTTCAGTGGGGCCCCCTGAAAGGACCTCAAACCCCAGAGCATTTTATGTTTTAAGGACCATTGAGTACTATGATAACAGGAATTCCTGTCCACACAAGGGTGAAAGTGACTCTAGATTAGCCATGAAAAATTTCCCCTGACCCCACTTCTTATGACACCCCTTGGACTCCTAGGTAGCCCAGCACTGGTTGGCAATCATGACAGATGTTTGCTCCAGAACCAGGGGGCTTCCTGTTGTGCTGGGTCCCCTCTGGCACAGATCTCATCCCAGCCTTTGGGTTAGAACCCAAAGCTTCTAATTCTCAGACCAATGCTCCTTCCCCCAAAATGCACAACCCTAGAATTCAGGAATAATCACTGCAATCTCCTCAGCCACCAACGACCAAGGAGGAACAGAACAGAACAGAATAGAAATGGGTGAGGGGGTCATAGGTGGAGAAAAAAGGTCAGTCATCCAACCATTTTGGCTGCCCCCACTCCTCTCTCCTCTGCCCTGCCCCCACCTCCTGCTAGCCTCCCTTGATAGCTCTCTGCCCTTCTTCCCCTTCAGCCTGGAGCAGCTCTGTTCTCTGTCCTACTCCTAAGCAAAACCTTCTCTCAGGAAAAGACTTGGCACCTTTATACTTGGGGGTACATTCTGTCCTTATATCTTCTAGTTATTCTATTATCAGTCTCATCCTTATTATGAATTATCAAGTGAAAAATCTTTGTCCCTTAAGGTAAAGAAAACAATTTCAGGGGTGGTTTTTCTCAGCACTTTCAGTACCTTAGTCTATTTCTAACACACACACACACACACACACACACTCACACAAAGGAAGAGGAAAAGGAGAAAGCAGCAAAGGAGGGGGTGGAGGAGAGAGGAGAAAAAAATTCACAGTGGGGGAGGAGGAAAGAGAGACAGGAAGACCCCTGACTGCTAAAAAAACCCATTCTGTGGTTTTCAAAGACCATACATCTCAGTAATGAAGGCATGAACAATGACGGAAGTGGGAGATGGTGTTTCAACAAGACTAAAGAAGAAGTTAAGGACTGAGAGCTCATTCGAAGTGCTTTCACCAGAGCCCCCAGCCTGAGAGCAGGAAAGAAGAACTTCTGTCCTAAGGTAAAGAGCCCCACTGGGGATCTGGGGTCTGGGAGCAGGGATGGGACAGCTGGCAAAACTGCTCAGGCAAGGATAGGCTTCCAGTGAAGTCCCTGAGAAACGCTGTTTCTTGAAGGGAAATGTCCTTTACCCTCAGGAGCCTGGGAAAGAGAAGTATTACTTGTGGAATCTGGGCCAGCATGCTGGCTCTTCTCCAGTAGGCTTTCAGGGACATGGGCCCCTGATGGGGAAAGAACCACACTGTGTGTTCACGAGAGGGAAATCCAGGTGAGCTCCTTGAGGTAGCTGTACCTGACAGAGCCTGAAGGCTTTATGCTGTTCTAAATGCTCCAGGCTACTTTCTTTTGTTCAGTGCTCATGGGGGACGAATGACAAAGGGTCATTCTTATTAATAAAAAGAAGATAGTTACTAGAGGAGAGTTACCAAGGTTTGGATCACCTCTTCACTTGACTCCTAAAAGCCTGGACTGGGGCAAACCACTGTGCTCCCTGGAGCTTGGAGCTGGCCCTGTGAGGCACCTTTGAGGGAATTTCACATCCCAGATGTATGCTCTGAGGGTGATGCAAACAAGGGAGGCTTCAGGCCACTGGCATGATTTTGTCAGAGTAAACCTGGGAAGTCCAGGGTGAAAATAATGGTTTAGAGATAGTTTTCCCCAAGTTCTAGAGTTAGGCACTTTAGTGGGAAAACCTTTCACCTAGGAATCAGGGGACCTGGTTGCCTCAGTTTCCCTAGTTGCAAAATGAGGAGACTGTTCTGCAGGAGTTCTTAACTAGGGGTCCATGGATTCATTCATGGGATTCATGAATTTAGGGGAAACATTACATTTTTATTTGCACCGATCTCTAATTGAAAGTTAGCATTTGCTTCAATTATGAATGTAGGCAACAAACCATAATAGAATTTGCCATCAATAGAAGTCACAGATATTTTCAAATGTCATTACAGTTTGTATAGATTTCTCAAAATATCATTTGTGCTCATCACTACTATGAATTACCACAGTTTTTAGGCCAATGCTAGAGCTAAAGAAGCACATATACTGCTCTATCTCACATGCTTCTAATGTGTGAACAACTGTTTTGATATAATTTGTTTCCTCTGTTATCCTATGCATTTTATTTTATTAATTTTTTTTGAGATTTTTTTTGATGTTTTAATAGTTTATAACATTGTGAAATTTGGGGTTGTACATTTTTGTTTGTCCATCACCATATATATGTTTCCCTTCACCCCTTGTGCCCACCCCCCCCACCCCCATTGCCCCTGGTAACCACAATACAGTTTTCCCTGTCCATGTGTTGGTTTATAGTCCACATATGAGTGAGATCATCCAGTGTTTGTCTTTCTCTTTCTGGCTTATTTCACTTAACATAATACCCTCAGGCCCATCCATGTTGTTGCAAATGGGACGATTTTGTCTTTTTTTATGGCCGAGTAGTATTCCATTGTATATATATAGCACATTTTCTTGATCCAATCGTCAGTTGAGGGACACTTAGGTTGCTTCCACTTCTTGGCTATAGTGAATAATGCTGCAATGAACATAGAGGTGCATAAGCCTCTTTGGATTGTTGATTTCAGGTTCGTTGGATAGATTCCCAGTAGTGGGATAGCTGGGTCATAGGGCGCCTTTATTTTTAATTCTTTGAGGAATCTCCATACC